TTGGCCTATGGGCTAAATTGGAATATAAAGTTACACCTTTATGAATTTACATATTGACCCAAGGTTTCACTTGCAATTAACCAAAAACTTTTCAAATTGCAAATCAATCCTTACAACTTATTAAATTCTCAAACACTTGTCCTCAACCCTAAAAGCCAGCTCCTCAGCCATTCCACCACAGACGGCGGACCTACGCCTTGCCGCTCCGCCCCATCGCCTATCCTCTCGCCAAAGAGGAAGGAGCCATTGCCAACCGCCTGACTCACGGAGAATTCGCAGCGGCGGCCGGAAATTTCACAGGCAACGAGCATCGAGCCTATTTTAAGCATGTTCTTGCGATAAACAGCGGCGATTTAAACGTCGACTTCGAAATCGACGGGCTTTGGTGGCGTCGTTTCGACGGGCTCCGACGACGGCGACTGGATTTTTTTTTTTATTTTTTCATTTGTGTTGCAGACGACGGCGTACGACATGAGGATGTCGGCGGCGTGAACAAACGGTGACGTGACGGCGAGTGCAGATGTAATGGTTGAATTGCGTCTGTGAGAACGTTGCTGGGGGTCGTCGGCGATGGTGGATGACGGCCGGTGATGGCGGGCGACGGCCGTCGATGGCGGACGACGGCCGGCTATGGTGGACGACGAACAGGTTTGTGTATGTGTGCGTAACTATGTGTAACAGTTGTGTGTGCGTATGTGTGAATTATGTGTGAGAGAGAGAGAGAGAGAGAGAGTTAGTTTATGGGAGAGTGTGTACTGATGTGTTTGTGTGTGTGTGTGTCATGTGCGTGTCTGCATGTGTTGCGTGTGTGTGATGTGTGTGTGAGGTATGTGGCATGGTGATGTGTATTTATAATGACCAAAATATCCTTAATGAAGATATAATATTGATTTTTTTAGCCATTTGATCATCTGATCTAATGGCTACAATTTATTCTCATTTCTTTCATTGAGAACCATTCTCATGTGAACCCAACCCTATATATATATATATATATATATAGAGAAAGGATCATATGAGAAAGGGTGATAATGAAAGAAATAAGAATGAATATGTTTCATTGGATCTAACATGTCAATGGTTAGGATGAAGTCAATTTTAATAAAGAATAATCAAACAGTAATGGCAGTACCGTAATTAAGAGTATATAAAGTGGTCAATGTATAGATTTGTGCACTTAATAAGGATATTATGGTAATTGCATAATGAGACATTAGCCAAGGTGGGCCCTACCAGTCACACTAATATTCACACACGAACACACACTCTCAGTTTTCACTTTTCACACACACTCGAGCAGAATACACACACACGCACATAACACACACACACAGACACTCAGATTCGCCGGAGGTGTCGCCGGCCATCGCCTTCCTTCCGCCCGAGTCGCTGTCGCCACCGCCTTCCTCCCGCGTCGCCGTCGACACCGCCTTCCTTCCGCTTTGACGGTCACCGAGAGCAGTTGCAGCCTGCAGGCGGACACCTACCAGCATAATTTTCGCGGCCACGACCAAAGCGACGACCAAAATCGACCAAGAAACCGGTGTTCTCTCCAGCACCAACGCCCGACACCACAACATCGCCGCCGCTTGGTCATCAGATTTTCGCCGCTTAGCGTCAAAGCGCCGCCGACCGACTATCAAAGCTCCGCCGCCTGGCCGTCAAAGCTCCGCCGCCCGTCCATCAAAGTACCGGCACATCAAGCGTCGTCGGTCACACATCGTCGACGACATCAGCCACCCATCGTCATCTACCAGCCGGCCGCCCATCAACTACCCCGCCACCACCGTCGGAGCTTGTCGTCGCCATCCGATCCATCCCGCATTTCAGAGAAACGCCACTTCTTCGGGACCGCAAAATCACTCTCCCGAACGCCGTTTGACAAGCGACCTTCACGGCGAGGGCCTCCATGTCGGCGGGAGAGTCCCGCGGAGAGAAGAGACGGCGGCGGCGGCATCGGGATGTGCAGGGGTACAGTTTTCAGATTTGGATTTTTTTAGTTCGTTCTCATATTTGGGTCCTGTTGCTGTACATTAAATTCAAGTTTGGATATTTTGATTTGGGGTTCTACGGGTGGAAATTAGACAATTACGGAGGATCTATTTGTAATTTTTTAAACTTGATTTGTCGGTGCTTCTAATTGGCTACAGGGCAATTCATTTTTTATATTATAAATAAAAATAAATAATAAATGTCAAACGCGCACAAAATGCACAATGTCCGTCTGTTGACCCCTACGACAAATATGTCAAAACCAAAATAATCGAGTTGAAACGTTAGAAAAAAAAAAACACCAATTTTCTTGTTTGTTTTTTCTTTTTTTTTTGTTGTTTTATGATTCACTATGGTGCATTCTGTTAGTCAGTAATGTGCAATTTGTCTAATACAATTGTGCGATTATAGCACATTTATTAAATCATGCATTTTTTAATAATTTGACTCTAATGATACTAAAACCAAATCTAAATAATCGATTTATTTGTGCACTTAAATGAGTTAGCTTAAATAATTGTAGTTTATTATTTATATTATAAATATATATTATTTTTTTTAATATATTACTAAATATTTTATATTATACTTAGATGAAAATAAATATTATATATATAATTATATAATTTTTTCAGTTCGGTTATTTAAGTTATTTTGTAAAATAAAGACATCGAACCAAACCGAGATTTTAAAATTAAAAACAAATAATCAAACATAAAAATAAAAAAACAATCGAAATGAAAGTTTTATAACAGTCTATTGGTCGCTATTTAATGTGAAAAATATATTTGATATGTTAATAATTTTATTTATTATTTTTTTATTATTTTGTGGTTGAAAAAATTTGTGTTCGGTCGGTTTTGATCTATTTTGTACAGTTTGATTGTCGTGATAATGTGCAACGTGCTGTTCTGTACAGTGCAACGTGTTGTTTTATAAAGTGCAAAATGTTGATGTATAAAGTGAACTACATGATAATGTGCAACGTGTCGTTATGTAAAGTGCAACGTGTTGTTCTGTAAAGTTCAACGTGTTGTTTTATAAAGTGCAAAGTGTTGATGTATAAAGTGAACTACTGTAATTTTCGTACGTTAGCAAGCATATGTTTTTGTGTGGATAACTGATGTGATTGGTGTTAAAGTAACGCACATTTGTTTTTTAGATTTATTTTGTTTGGTAATTTGGTAGTAGCTATGTTGATGTTAACTGTAGAGTGTGGTGATAAAAGTGCAAAATATTGTTAAATAAAGTGCAATTTGTTGTTTTATAAAGTGCAGTGTTTTGATATACAAAGTGCACTACTTTATATGATCACATAAAAATTTTTATTTATTTTTTTTAGAAACTATATTTAGTAGATATGATTATACATCAAATTAACCTAACTAAATGAAATAATATTATTTTATTATTATCGTGCAATATATTGATTGGGGTATTTTTTATGTGCATTTCAATTTTATAAACTTAATAATGTATTAATGTGTATGTCCATTAGTGTCAATTGCATTTATCTAATAAATTACATAATAAGAAAAAAAAATATTTATAATTTTTATTTAATATTTTATATTATTGTAATCTTAAATTATGATTTATAATTTTTGTTAGTTAGTAGTTGATATTACAGCGAATGTGTTTACAGCTAGAGTTGCATTCTTTTTCTCTTTTCTTAGTATCCTAACCATCTCCTCCTTTTTAAAATAATATTTTTAAAAATATTTTTTTTTTATCTTTTGATAAATTACATATTTAGCCCATGGACTAAATTGAAATATAAGCAAAATGTCTAAAAAATACAGTCAGGCCCTTAAGACTAATCTAATTTACAAATTCATGCCCTTGACATATGAGCCAGCGTCTTCCCCGTGTACCTGCCGTGCGGACCACACCTTCGCGACCGGAGCTCTGCAACGACGTCGGAGTTTTCCCTGCCGGTCGTCAGGTGCAAGGACGTGCGGCCGCAAGCGTCATGCTCGCCGGCGAGTTCGGGCCTCCGGGCGATTAGCGTCGTGGCCTGCCAGTCGACTTGGAGGTGCCGCCTTTTGCGTCTATGTGACGAAAATCGACGGCGTTGCGGCGTCAGGAACAATGGATGGTGGACGGTGGCGGACATCCATGGTGGTGGTCGGGCTTTTCAGCCGGTTAAACATGGTGTGTGTGTGTGTGTACGAATAGTGCCAGTGCGAAGTGTGTGTGTGTGTGAGAGAGTAATGTGTGTATGGCCGGCGACCGGAGGTTCGCCGGCGGTAGTCGTGGCCGGCAGTGTGTGATTTTGTGTGTGTGTGTGTGTGTGTGCTGTGGGTGCGTGTGTGTAGGTGAGTGTGTGTAGGGGTGACGTGAGTGGGGTGGGGTGGGGCTGGTGGTTGGCTGGTAGATAGTGGTTGGGGACAGATTTATTATGTTGAGTGGAACCCACATGTTTGAGTGTATTGTGGTAAATTACTATAATACCCTTAATGAAGATATATTTTTGGTTTTTTTATAAGCTGTTGGATCATGCGATCCAATGACTATAGTTTATTCTCATTTCTTTCATTGAGAACTATTCTCATGTGAACTCAACCCTATATATATATATATATATATATATATATATATATATTTGTTATAGTTTTTTAATATTTACCGGTTCGGTCCGGTCAAATAGGTGGTTTGCCGCAGGTAATCCGTTAACCGGACTGGTGGATTTTTTAAAACATTAACCACCGGATTTTTTAAAGCTTTTTCAACTGACCATTTAATCGATCCGCGGTTCGAATTGACAGTTTTTTCGGTTAAAATCGGACCGTGAACATCCCTAACAACATTCTTGTGGGGTTTATCGCTTTTAATTTGTATTTTGTTTTCTGTTTTTTAATTCAAGATTTACGAACGAAACATATAATTCAGCTTGTAAACTTCCCGTTGTAATCGAGAACTTCAGTTTGAGCGACCACATAAAAACGCTTGAAGCTTATCTCCCTAAAATAAATCTTCTCCTCAAGACGCACTGAACCCACTTATCAATGGCTGCAAACCCCTTTGCTCCGACAACCAATTCTCGACTTCTTACGCCGTCGTTTTACCTCAGTCGTCCTGCTTTCCCTTCTTTCTGTCTCAGTAATTTGTCTAGCTTTTCTCTCCGCCATAAATCTCGCCTCTTACTCAGCTGCTGCTGTGGCTCTCTTACTATCAATGGCAATCAATTGACAAGCGCGATACCTGACTTGAGTAAGTAAACCTCAAATTGAAGTAGTGAATGCTCCTATTCCGCTAATTGTTTTTTGGTTACTTAGTTGAATGCTGTTCCCGTTTGATTGAATAGGTATGCTGCTATTCCCTTTATTTCAAGAATTAGGGCTGAATGAAAAGGAGACTGAATCAATTTTAAACAACGACAATGCAGATCTTAGAATAACTTCATTTGAATCAATTCGCAGTAGAGCTCAGTTGTTGCAATGTACTGGCATAAACGCCCTCGCCCTTTCCAGATTAATCCTTAAAAATCCCTACATATTAACATCTGAAGAAATTGGTGCACTACTTAGCTTCATTACCAAGGACAAAGAATTAGGGCTGAAAGGTCAAATGAAGCCGTCCCAGGTGGAGCGTTTGTTGAAGGCAAGAAATCTCGGATTCGTAGCGGGATTCGAGGAAAAGGTGCGGCTGCTACTTCAGTTCGGCATCCCCAGAGAAAAGCTCGTCCACGTTCTCAACCACGTCAATCTGAGCAAGGCATTGTGTGCGAAGCCAGTGGATGAAATAGAGAGGACGCTCGCCTTTTTACAACGTTTTGGAGGCGTTGACTTAATCGTGCGTAGGCCCACTGTCCTTAATTACGATCTGCAGACTCAATTGTTACCGAGAATGGGATTTTTGTTGGAGTTGAGCGGTGGTGATGAGGATGCCACTCGCACTGTAGTGCGTAAATTTCCCTCCATCTTGTCATACACAGTGGACCACTTGAACAACCACGTTGAGTTCTTCAACTCTTATGCAGGTCTGAGCCAGGAGGAGTTTTTCCGAATCGTGCTCGTGTTCCCGGGATTATTCAGTTCGAGCGTGGAAAGGAAACTCCAGTCTAGGATCGATTTTCTGAAGTTGTGTGGACTGAGTCCAAACGACATACTCAGGTTCCTGATAAAGGCACCCTTGTTCCTGAGCCTGTCGTTCGAGGGAAACCTGGCGAATAAATTGGTGGTGTTGGTGAAACTCGGGTATGAGAATAGGAGTCGGGAGCTGGCTTACGCAATGGGTGCTGTAACGAGGTGCAGCTGTAGGAACGTGCAGGAGGTGATTGGGGTGTTGCTGAATTACGGGTTGACGTGCGAGGATATTATGGAGATGAGCGTGAAGCATCCCCAGGTGTTGCAGTACAACCATGTCTCGTTGGAGGAGAAAATGAAATATTTGGTTGAGGAAATGGGGCGTGAGGTACGGGAGCTCTTGTCCTTTCCTGCCTTTCTTGGCTACAAGCTCGATGGCCGGATAAAGCACCGGTTTGAAGAGAAAAGGATGGTTTTGGGTGACGGGATGTCCATCAACAAGCTTTTGAGTATGTCGGCTGTCAAATTCTCGTCCAAGGGCAAGACGAGTGTGAGGGTCGATTAGGGAAAATTTTATCCAAATTACAGATGCCCGCTTCAGATTTGTTTGTTGTTTCCATGTAAAGCACTCATCATCTTCTAAACCTCTTCAAGAATAATAATGTTACAGTGGTTTATATACTAGTAGAAAACTAATCCAAATAACCGGGATTACAATATTATACTAATTGCTACTCTAATCTATACCATATACATTAACAAAGTGCATACAAGAACTCCTAGTAGGTATTTGTAACTTTGAGGGATGGGAATATTTGTTTTATTTATTGAGGTAGGCTAATCTCCCGGCTCTAACAATTATGGAGAGCGAGCGAGAATGATGGGCTTTTTTCGCATGAAATTGCTTTAACCCTTCTCGGCGTTTGAAGTTATGGTAAATGATGATCGTAATTCTCATTTGAAATGGAGCTCTGGAAAAGGAGAAAAAAAAAAAAACGAGTCTTGCTGACTGTGTCAAATGAAGATGAGACTGTGTGGTGTGTCTTCTGCATAAAACGAACTGAGACGCTCAGGTCTAGCACATTTTCAATCTACATTTTGGATTATTATTATTATTATTATTATTATTATTATTATTATTATTATTATTATTATTATTATTATTATTATTATTATTATTATTTTATTGGAATTAGCATGGCAACAATGAAGAGAATGAGAATAACTGTTTAGATCTAATGGAAATATTGTTGAATTAGTAAAATCAGTAACATGGTGAAAAACAAAATTCTGAAAAACCAGGCAGTACTAATTTACGTTATAATTTGGATATAGCAAGAACCATAATTTGTCTGATCCTGATTTGGATGGCAGATACTATTTCGAATTTGGATAGCAACAGCCAACAGGAAGTGCTCCATCGACTGTTGGCCCCATAGTTTGCTTCAAAAATATGAAGAAATTGTGCAAGCTGCGAAACTCAAGGGGTTTTACTTGGATATAATTTTTTTTTTTTT